GATCCTCTTGTCTGGCCCATTGTTCCAATTGCGCCGCTTCCTTTCCTCTCTGTAATAACGTCATTTCTTCCTCTCTTTGTTGTCTTTCCAATTCTCTTTCTTGTCTTCTTTTTTTAACCTTTTCTAACTCTTTCCTATTTTCTTCTTGTTTATGCCTATTTCTAGTCTCAAGTTCTTCTCTACTAACGCCAAGTAAACCTTCTTTTTCTAACTTCTTCGACCATACAAATGTTGACAGCAAATTTCCATCTCCAAATGGATTATCCGTATTTGTATAATGTAAATAATCGTTGTCCCAACCCATTCTTTCTTTACGTTTTCTTTCCTTAGCCTCCTTCTTTTTTAATCGTCTTATTCTTTTTTCCTCTGGGGTCTCTGCAGCTTTCATCAATTCCTTCTGACGTTTACGTTCTTCTATCTGTTTCTGACGTTGTCTCTGTAATTTTTCTAGGAGTTTCGTTGAGTTAGAGGACGAATCCGATGAAGACAAAGAAGAGGATTTGTTTGATTCATTTGACGAAGACGACGACGACGACGACGATGACGACGAGGACGATGACGACGTCGACGACGACGACGACGATGACGATGATGACGACGATGAGGAAGATGAAGAGGACGATGAAGATGATGACGATGAGGATGAGGATGATCTGTAATGTATTAATATCTGGAGTCAGTAAAAATACGTACGTATTATAGGTTAGAATTAAAGAATTTCATCTCCAAAAAGTAATTTACCTTTTTCTGCTTTTATGCTTGGACGATTTTTTCCGTGATTCTCGTGATCTCGATGAATTTCGATGAGTCTTGGATTTTTTTTTTTTAATATTCGATTTTTTAGTATTTCTATGAGATTTTGAATAGCGTTCTACGTCATTATCGTATTTCCTATCATAACTTTTGTTCCTCTCTTTGTGTCGTGTGTCTTTTCTCGATTTTTCGGTATTACTTTTATGAGAAACTTTTTCCATTTTATTGTATTATTACACTTACGAAAATATTATCGTTATTAACACTACAACGTTTTACCACAAACAATAAATGTTCATTAACGTCAAATCTGGAAAATTATTCTCCAGATGTCGCCATGTTAGCATCAATGCAACAGTGCAACTTTCGCTTTCAACCAACCTTATCTGAACTTCCGTATAGATATTCCGTACGTGTGTAGATTATATAATTTAAACTAAAAGTGGATATAAAAATAAATAATAATAATGTATAAAAGGCAAATATTTCATATGAATTTTTAATTGAAGTCCATACAATTGATTTTGTAAAAAGAATATAATTTAAAGGATCAATGACTAGAGAGTAGTTGGATTTTCCCCCACTTCTTTTAATTCTACATCCGTTAAACTTTCAAATCGTGCACCCTACATCGTCAGAAGGTTTTGGAAAATTCTCGAGCGGTTACTGCAACGTAGCATAGCAGCATATTGCCGTTTGTTTGGCCTCCTTTTTTTTTCCTTTGTAATATCACAATTAAATATTACGGAATGCCGAATCTCATCTATTATTCCGACAAATATTACGACGATCTTTATGAATATAGGTAAGCCCAATGACGGTTTGCTTTTATTGTATATATTTACTTTTATTTTTTATCCGTACTTTTTGTCTCATTATGCAAACGAAAAGATTACGTTATCCAAATTCGCAAGAAATTTTTTGTGATTTTTTTTTTTTTTTTTTCTTTTTTTGTTTCTACGTTGGAAAAGTACAACGTCGTATTTAAATGGCTAGCCCAAGGTATGCTTTTGTTTGCTTTGTTAATCCCCTCAATACTAATATCTTTGATATGATCGATGAATCATTCGAATTAATCATAAATACGTTTAATCTACTTTTATTTATTTAACTTTTAAAGCAAAAATTCATTTTCTGTAGATTTGAAATCTTTGAGACTCACATGCTTGGCCAGACATATTTGCTCTGAATATATTTTTATGTAGAAAAATTTACATAAGGAAATGTTATAGATTATGATTATGTTATTTAGGCACGTGGTTCTACCAAAAGATATGCAGAAATTAGTGCCAAAAACTCATCTCATGTCCGAGCAAGAGTGGAGAGCTATTGGAGTTCAACAAAGTCAAGGATGGGTACATTACATGATCCATTATCCAGGTAAAGAAAATCTTTTCAATTATGATACATCATTATATGTATGTTAATCAATTCTTAAAACCAATGTATTTTTATTATATTCTTTCAGAACCACATATTCTCTTATTCAAGAGAAAGATCACATCTCCTCCACCAGAAAATAATTCGTAAGAGTGCGTTACATTTCATTGTGAAAATATTTTTTTAAACCATAGAAGCAATGGAAGGGTTCAGCGCTAGATAATTCATTTTAGCAATTGAAAATAATATTATATTTCCAAACATCATAAAAGTGAAGTATATGTTATTATAAAAAGAAAAAAAGAAAAAAAATGTAATCGTTTTAAATTTAAGACGTGACATTAGCTGTGCTCTTCTCATAATTTACTTCAATATGTCATCGAACTATCCTGTATATATGTCTATAAACTACTTTAGCTTTTAATATTCCATCCTGTTAATGACGTTTCCTGGAAAGATAATAGAAAATTCAATATCTCATTGAATCCAAAAAGATGAGCTGAGCAAGCCGGAAACATAAAATAAGAAGTATTCTAGAAAACTTTTTGTGTTAAGTGCCTTAGTATATGGTAAATTTGTCGTACTTTTCACGATGTGTTTGAATAATATGATAGAGTAATTTTTATAAAACTTCATCATATTACTCACGTTATTTTAGTATTCAGACTTATTAAAAAAAAAAACAAAAATAAAAAAAAATAAATAAATGCGTCTTCGTTTTCTCAAACTTATTGTAAGGGTAATGTTTCCATTGACACTTAGTATTTTTTTGTAACTTAATATTTAAATATTTGTATACGTATGAGTAATAATTGAGTTCGCTAAACAAAAAGACATGTACCCATAATAAAAAATAAACGTTTCTTTCTAATTGAAATCTCTCTTGCATCTATATATCTATATCTTACACACACACACATATATATATATATATTTTTTTTTTCTTTTTTACCTATATTAATATCGATTCGATAACATTACAATTCATACAAGTAATTAAACTTTAAGACACTAAAACTAAAATATAATGAAAATATTGGGATTTTCCTTCACGCCTAAGAGTTAGGAACGTTATAATAATAAAAAGCCTGAAGCAAATTTAATAAATACGTGTTTAAAGACTTAATTGAAACTACAATGTGCTTGACCTCGATCTAATTAACATCGCTTATTATACGCGCTTATCTACCAAGCGTTTTATTATCTAAATATTTCTCACAGCAATTTCCATAAATTATACATAAATTAATTTTAATTATGTACTGACGCATATAACGTGCGAAAGCGTCGTTAGATTTGTCACATATGAATATATAAATATATATATATTATATCATCCTCACGATAGCATCTATTCGATTATTATAAAGATTCCTATAATATAATAATTCAAAAATATAACGACAATATTAGCAACGTGTGCCATGGTAAACGAAAGTTTGAAAAACATTGCTCCCTACTGATTTATTAACGTTAGAAATTAACAACGAAATATTCGATAAAACGCCCAACGGATCGAATTTAATGGTAAGCAAAGATAAAAGGTTCTTGATCCGGTGACGATAATTGTGACGATGAAAGACAAGGGATGTGTGCGTGTGGCCGTACGTAAAGAAAGAGGGTGGGAGAAGAGAAAGTAGATAAAAGTTGCAAGAGAGAAAGAAAGAGAGAGACAGAGAGAGTCATCTCTCTCGAGGAGAGTGAACGATGACGATTGTGAGAAATAGCGGAGAGTGAGATTGTAGGGAGAGGGGGAGGAGGGGGAGTGGGAGAAACAGACGGGAGAAACAGAAGGGCTTCGAACAGATGGTTCTCAACTTAGCCATTTAACTTAGACACTTCGGTATTCATCCGCTTTCGTAGGGTTGGGAGCTGGCGTTACGATCAGCCATTGAGCTCGGTTCTCCTCCCTCTTTCTCTTTCACTCTCTCTCTCTCCCTCTTCTCGAAGGACGAACTTTGTGTGCGTGTATGATGCATTTACGGTGTCTGTAAGAGAGACAGAAGGAGCGGGAGGAAAAGAGAGACAATCGGTGATCATCGGCGGGCTCCGAAGGCAGAGCCGAGAGCGACCTCACGTTTTTCGAATTTGTCGTTCGCCGTCGATCCTCGCGAATAGTTGTGCGCGTCTCTGAGTATCTCCTTCGCAACGCATTATACAACAACGATATTTTAACGATAGCACATACTTCCTTACGAATTATTTCGAAATAGTGCTTTTTCTCTTTCCCGTGAAATAGAATCTTTTTGTTATTTTTCCAATTGATGATTTGAATTTTCAAAAAGTCGCGCGGCATCACTGCCATTTTAGATAGACATATAGATGTTAAGAAGATAGCGAAGAATAAGTCCATTGCATCGATACGGAATCTATATAATATCGAACGAACGGTCTCTCGACGAGAGTAAGTAAATTCTCCCAATGATATATATCTTTATTCCCGCTCTCTTCCCTTTCTCCTAACACGTCGCTACCGTCGCCGTGGTTACCTATTCTCGTTGGTTCAAGATCCCCTACCTTAGATCTTTTATTGTCGCGTACACGAGCGCCGATGCTTCCTTCCTCCCTTTTCTATTTCTATTTTTATTTTTTCCCTTTTTATTTTTATTTTTATTTTCATTTTTTTTTTTTTTCTTTCTTTCTTTCCGTCATCGCCGTGGACACCAAAGACGTATTTCGAATCGATCGACTAGGGTAATCGTTTCCTTTTTTTTTTTATATATTATAAAAGTTATAATAATAGGGGATGAGAGGGGGGGAGAAGGGGTGATCGATCAATCGTACGAACGATAATGTTATCCGTAAAAAAGTGAAAAAAAATTGAATGATTTACGAACGAACGATTCCTCGGGGCTCGGAAGGGAAGGGGAAAGGGGTCGGCGATAAAATGTATATATAAAGAAATATTACGAGATGTTCGTAATCAACGTGGTCCACAGACGGCTGGACCACATGTGTCACATACGAGTCGCATAAAATTCGCGCGAAATAATCCAACTTTCTTTGGACTGTCGTGGACTTTTGTGTTCTTACTGAATCTTCGAATGAAAAAAGTGTGTTCCATCGTTTCCTGCAAAATTGCGAATAAGGGAGCCAATGTAAATGAGTTTCTTCTTATCGGATTCTTTTTTATGATAAAGTGTGCGTGAAAATAAAAATCACGAATGACGAACAAAGAAGCTTGATAAATCAACGTCGATAAGAGGAGTCATAGTTCTTGAATGAGATACAGGTCTAAAAAAAAATCTACAAAAAGAAAAGTCCTTGGCGTGAATCACGTGGGCGTTGAACGCGCTTGTGAAAGGAAAATTTAAGGACCTTCTTCTCTTTTACCTTCAACTCGATGCTTAAACGTATGGGAAATAAAATAGATAATATTACAAAATTGATCGATCAATCCTTGTCCATAGTCGGTTAGCTTGAAAGCGAGATTTAAGCGAAACATTTTTGGCGGGAAATTTGAAAAAAGAAAAAAATCTTAGGACTCGAGATATTTGACCTCGAGAAAGATGACCCGAATTTTTTTCGAAGGTAAGACGGGCATAGTTAGCGATCACCTTATTTGGATCGACGCATCGTGCGTACAAACAAGATCGTTGGACTCGAGTGTCGAGCCAAACACGAGGAAAGTGGACGAGAAACTTGGATCGAGTTTATCGTTTGTAAATATACCTTCTGTCCTTTATTATGTTCATAATCTATCTCCAAATGGCAATATCGTAGTGAATTAATACGTTATCATTAGTATTTAATTTAAATATTTAGTAAACGAAATGAGGTTAGATCTGAAATGTTTCACCATTCGTGTTATCTTACAAAGAATTGCCCTTTGTCCGTCTAATTTGTGAATATATTTAATCGGTAAATAACTTCCTTCCGTGCTTTTTTTTTCAATTTATTATTATAATGATTGTTAGTCGTCGAGGTATCCCATTCTTTAGATCGTTTTGTCTGGAAATGATAAGCACATATTGTTTTCTCGTTAAACCAAATTGACTTTCTTTCGTGCACGTGTAAGTTTGTGTAAAAAAAGAAAAAAAAAAAGGAAAAGGAGATCGTAAACGAGTTAATATTTATCACTTTCCAACTACCAATGGTCTTGGAAGTCTTACACAATTTATTTTCATCTTCTTTGCTTCGTAAGATCAATTTGTAATTGTTCTGTAGATTGATTTAAGAGATTCGCAAATTAAAGAAATAGATGTTCCGTAAATAATGACTCACAAACTTTTCGTCGCATGATAAAAGTGGTTTTCATTAATAGGGAGAACGTTGAGAACGATCGTACATTGCAATTATGCAAGGAATGCGGTCGTCACGGCATACGAGCAAACATTTTTGGAGTTGGGCTTTTCTTCCTCATGGGGTGGAAGAACTTGAGCTCTATTTCATTTTCTTTTTTCATTTCTCCCACGAGTATGCCCGTAGGGATACTCACAAAATTATTCCTCGAATTATATTAAAAATCTCACCATTTTCTCCTGAACTTATATTTTCGATGGATTGCAACATGTAAATTCGTTTACCGATCTATGGTGTGGTTTTAACCGGTTCGTACTAGTTTTTCCCTGGATATATATATATATATATATACGTATATATATATATATACATACGTGTAGGTACATTGGAAAACTGATAAATACATTTTGTATACACGCCTGCTATTACGTTGGTGAATTAAATGAGGGGAGAGGGGGAAAGATGCCATTATCCGACACTACTTCATCGAGAGTAACAACTTTCATGGCGTTCCTTCGAGTCAAAGTTAATTAAAATTTACATTGGAGAAAAAGAAGAAGAAGAAGAAGAAGAAGAAAAAAAAGTAGAAGACATTTCGCGAATATTCTCCTTTCATAAGAGATATGAGTATCTCCTTTATTAAAATTTACGATAAAAAAAGAGCGGTTTATTACATTTGTTTTTCGATAAAACGCGAATAAAAATGAACATAAAATGGTAAAATATAATATTCAAGGATAATACACAGTAAGATAAATAAAACGAATAAATCCATAAAAATCAGACATAGCGTGTGTGAATAAAATGTTCTGTTCGTCGAATCTCCAAAAAAAACATTCTTGCGTAATAGTTTTTTTTTTCTTTCTCTATCTTTATATCAAGACAAAGAATTGGATTTAACCAGTTTAACATGTAACATATGAGTATTTCATTATCTTAGGACGAGAAAAATTTATTCAGAGTCTTACGTATAAATTGATCATTCACGACGTGCGATTATATGAAATTATCCCAATGCTTCATTTATCACAGGCGCCCTTTTTTTTCATCTTTTTCATAAAGTAAAATTATCGCTTAATCATCGTACACGGTAAATCAACTAAAGCACACGCGTCTGTATGTCGTCGTATTAATTTTTAATTCAAGACGATTTAAGATAATATTGACTTTATCGTCTCATTTTTTTTCGTTAACGCACATATCATAGAATATTATAGAATATTATAGAATAATAAAGAATATTTTTATTCGATCTCAGGCTTCCTTAAATTTTGATGCATCTTTATTCAAATAACGCGAATATTGACGGAACATTTGAATAAATTTAAATAACTTTGCGCCTTAGAAAAATTATTAATTACGATTTAATCGTAAAGTTCGGTTGCTATTCAATTTCACAGGTTCGACAGGCGAAGACTATTGTCTTAAAATTTTAGCGATTTCGCTTTTAAAGATAATAAGACGATATGGCGCGTCCAAAAAGATGGAAGAAGTGCATGTCGGAAAATTTATTGACTTTGCTGACGATAATCGGCGTGTGTGCCGGCACTCTAGTTGGCTTCATCTTAAGGAATATCGACAAACCGGAGGGATGGACATCTCGAGAAATAATGTATATTCAATTTCCTGGTGATCTTTTTCTTAGGATGCTTAAAGGTCTAATTTTACCTTTGATAGTGGCTAGCATTGTCAGTTCAATCGGTAGTTTGGATCTTTCTCTTTCAGGTGAGTAATTCGTTTGAATAAGTTTTAATAATATAATAAATAAGATTCGATTCTTTTCTCTCTCTCTCTCTCTCTCTCTTTACTTGATATCTCAAGTTAACATAATAGAAAGGCGATAGAGAATAATAAGTTCATTGAAATTTTACAGGGAAAATCGGTATGAGATCGATTTATTATTATGGAACTACAACGATTAGTGCTGTAATTCTTGGCATAATTCTTGTCTCCGTGATAAGGCCCGGAGAAATCAGTGGAGATTCTTTCGACGATGAAAATGATTTAACACCTATCAGAAATGTTACTACCACTGATACGCTATTAGATTTAGTCAGGTACTTTGATTATGTGATTAATAATAAGAGGATTATAATATATCATTACATATTTTTTAATTAATTTATTATAAAATAAATATCACTGATACACAATATTTCTGAATATCATAAGCGATGTAATTTGTTTCATTATTTCTTTCTTTTTTTTTATTTTTTTATTATTTTTTTTTTTTTTTTTTTTTTTTTTTTAGGAACGTATTTCCGCCGAATCTTGTTCAAGCTTGTATTATGCAAGTAAGTTAATGATTAATATTATGATTGAATATTTTTTCCAAATAATAAATTGATATTATAGAATAAAAGAAAATAATATAAATATAATTATTCTTATCAAATATCTTATTTTTTTATTTCAGTATCGTACGATATTAACGAAGCCTAAAAATGCGACGGATGGTAAGAACGATCTATAATATTTTCAACGATTATTATTATTTTTTTTTTTTATTTGCTCTAAGTACAGATTAAGATAATTATTAAGAAATATATAGTGTTACTAGTAATGATGTTAATTAATTGCTTTTCTAGATACTGCTATAGAAAATTGGGATATTTCACACGTATATACCGATGGAACCAATACTCTTGGATTAGTAGTTTTTGGTATTGTTTTCGGGATTACACTCGGTAAAATGAGAGAATCTGGAAAAGCTTTGTTGGATTTCTTTACAGCATTGTCAGAAGCAACAATGATTATTACCAACTGGGTCATTTGGTATGGGAAAATTAAATTCTTTTGTGAATGATTTAAGAATCATTTTAAGAGAATGTATGTTAACGTAATTATTTTTTTTTTAAGGATTTCACCGATTGGTGTTTTTTTTTTGGTTACTTCAAAGCTTTTAGAAATTAAAGATATAAGTGCCGTCATTGGTCAATTAGGATTATATTTTATGACAGTTTTATTGGGACTATTTCTCCATGGTTTTGGGACTCTGTCTGTTATATACTTTATCTGTACCAAAGAATTACCTTTCAGAGTTATTGGAAAAATGGGACAAGTATTAGTTACAGCATTTGGAACAGCTTCAAGGTGAATATTATAAATTTCTATTGCAATTGTTGTAAAAAGTTATTATATATAAATACATTTACTCACTTAGTACTGCCACACTGCCAGTTACTCTACAGTGCTTGGATAATATGGGAGCAGATCCTAGGATAACAAGGTTTGTTGTACCAATTGGTGCAACTATCAATATGGATGGGACTGCATTGTATGAAGCAGTTGCAGCTATATTTATTGCTCAAGTTAGAGGCGTATCATTGACTCTTAGCAATATCATTGGTGTTAGGTATTTTATTTTTATCATATCTTTAAAAAATATATACTTATGAAATGACTGTCAAGTATCTGGTAAAATTAATCACTTTCACATCTTTTTTAAGTGTGACTGCAACGGCTGCAAGTATAGGTGCAGCTGGTATACCACAAGCTGGTCTTGTTACAATGGTTATGGTATTAGACACCATAGGTTTACCCGCCAAGGATGTCACCCTTATTATTGCCGTAGATTGGCTGTTGTAAGTTTACGTTTAAATCTAAAATTACATTATCTATTTGTGTCATTTTTTCTCTAAACCATAATATTATATACTTGATGGGTTTGATTTCTTTAGAGATCGATTCCGAACTACGATTAACGTAATGTGTGATGCACTCGGAGCTTGTATAATCGAACATATGAGCAAAGGAGAACTTGATGTACCTGCATTGAATCAAACAGAAGATTCTATTGAACTTGCTCAATTGCGAAAAGCAGAAGCATAATCTTTTTTTTTTTTTTTTTTTTTTTTCTTTTTTTTTTTGTTTTTGTTTTCTGCATGCTATTTAAAATAGCATTTATATGATATTATATTATATTGCACAGTTCAACTGTGTCTCTTTAGAGATTTATACATTTTTATGTTATTTAATATAATGCGCTTACAAACTAAGAAGTTTGTATAGCAGAATTTTGTGAATATCACTTTTAATATATGTACATACAAATGCAAATACAAATCTACAACACGGCCAATTTAGCTTTAAACTCTTTTCACCATATTCACATAGATTTATTATATACATATGTACAAAAACCATACATATAATAATTTAAGAGTATATATGCCGTTACTTTCATAAATATAATATCTTAAATTATTATGATATACTATCAAGCAATAATCTAAATCACATTGTACATATACAATTTGCATATGGAATATATTTAATTGTTAAGAATTGTTATTCATGAAAATTTTAAGTTAATAACAAGAACAAGAGAGAATACAATAATTACTTGTGTTCAAATACAGAATGTTATAGTGAAATTATGGATGACGTAGGAGTTATCTTGAAGCATTATTACAAATGTTTTTCTCTAATGAAAGTACATATGCGTATTAACTTACCCTTCAAATAATCCTTGTTCTTCTTAATAACATATAGAATAGGCAATTTCAATATTATAAAAATGATAATTAAGCACTTCTCATTATTAGAAAAATAGTTGTATAACATTGAATCTTTTTATATGTTTATTTTTTGGATAATAAATATGCGATCAAAAAAATTTAACTCCCTGATTATCATCAAACATGATCAATTCGGCCTTTTTAGCATACTCAAGAGTTCTAAGAGATCTTATCAATACTTCCATATCAAGTTTATAAAATTCTAAAAAAAAAGTATTGAAGAAGAATAATCAATATATTATCATAAATATCACTTACAGGTCATACCTTGATCAACTATGTCTTCTCCTTGCGTTAATTCGTAGAAAGTACATACAGATCCAACATGTCCAGTTTCTTGTACCCAGTTATATATTATATCACCCCATTCTTCTAATGTGTGCCAATAAACTAACCATCTTTGTTTTGTCTTATCTAATGGCATAGCATTTCCTGTTTTGCTTAATTCTTCTAATATTATAAGTACTACTTCTGATGGCAGTTTGCCTATTATTAAGTAGTAAATATTTGTAAATAGTTAAGAAAAATAATGGTGTTCTGTGATACATAAAATATATCAATCTTAATTTTTTAGATATAATTTTATTAAGGATACGGTTGATTGCACTGTTATTAAAAAGAGGACTTGAATGAACTTCTCGTATATCTACAATTGCCTGTTTTGTGATCCGATAATATTCTAATACTAAACTCTTCCATGCTGCCAATTGTTTAGCTTTTGTATCTGCATGTGGTTGGAGACTGTTCAAATAGATGACATTTTTTTAATTTAAATTTTATTCTTCCGATTATTTAATTGTACTAATATAAATTTTTGATTACATATTACAAATTATTAAATACTGTTTGGATATGAATAAGACACAAGGACAAATAATTTGAAGATAAAATTTTAAAAGACTTACGTAAAAAATGGAGGAAAACTGTATTGCCACGGCCATTCGATTTCTGCCATAATTTAATAGTTATTGTATAAATATGAATTGAACCGATCAATTTCGTATCGATTATTTTCACGAAATAATATATAACGCAGAACCACTTAACGTTTTTAACAGATTTGTTTACTATGTTAGGTTAAGATCATATATAATGAGTCTCAAATAAAAAAGAAAAAAAATATTTGATCGAGAGTTAATATATATATATATATATATAAAAGTTTTTTAATTTACAAATATTTATACATGTGAACGTCTTTGATTGACAACTTCTTTGTTCTGTCTAACAGTTGACAATTTTATTTGTAATATATATATTTCATAAGTTTGTCAGCCTTCGTAAATATCTTCCCTAGAGTAATCGTGTTAATGTAGTTGCAAGTATGAATATTATTAACGCAGCATAAATGGCGATCGACTGTAGTTGTAACGAAATCGAAAATTACATTAATCGAATTTGAATTAAAAGTAGAAATTATGAATGCTTAATTTCTTTTCTTTTCTATCCACAATTATAATTATATTCCCAAATTGTTCAATCTCTGTTTTCAAACAGTACCACCATCTGCAGTACAGGAGTCATAACTTAGAATTTACTGCAATATTTTCCGTTTTTGTTCGGCTAGATTATGATGGGTGAAATGGGGTTTCTGCGAATATACGTTTCCTAAAAAGCACTATATAAGTTTCACGGCAGAATTAGAACTTTACAAGATACAGTCGTTAAAAGTACGTTTCTTACGAATTCAATAACTGCACGATAATTCTAACCTCAAAGTATTTTAGCTTGTACACCAATTTTATATAAAACGAATATTTTCATAATAAATAACATTTCTCTTATAATCGTAACGATATTATTACAATAAGCAGATAATCACGAAGTAAGTTTTTTAATATCAATACGTTTTGGATAAATTTTTTTGTAAGAAACAAATTGCATTTTATAATTATTAATGTTTTATGATTACATAAATATTTATTTATCTTTTATCGATGTAGAGTAATATTAAAAAATGTTTAATGTTATAATAGTTTCGTCAAGTAAGAAATTAATCTCTATAAATTAAATAGTATAAATAAATGAATTTTTGTACTTTAACGCACAGGAGAAACCATGATTACATTGAGAGGAAAATTGAAAAAAGATGCTGAGATTACAAATTCTAAAAATAGAGATTATAATAAACGGGCATCTGTTCGCGATAAGCTGCTGATAAAAGAGGTATGATGAAATATTTCTTATATTTTTATATATCATTAATGAGTATTATATATTTGTTTTTATACATTATTTAGGTACAAGAAATGGAACAAACGCTTCCAGTTACCTGTCAAGTAACGTTTAATGATCCTCATAGGTTATATGAATTTACGCTTTCGATTATACCCGATGAGGGATATTGGGTTGGTGGACGCTTTTTCTTCGACATTTATATATCAGAAGATTATAATATGGCTGTAAATATGAATATTAGATTTTTCTTTAAATGTAAATGTAATGAACATTTTATGTAATGCTATTGATTGAATGGAATTCCATATGATTACAGCCACCAAAGGTAAAGTGTTTAACAAAATTATGGCATCCTAACATAAGCGAGGATGGTGATGTGTGTCTTTCAATATTAAGGCAAAATAGTATAGATGGGATGGGATGGGCGCCAACCCGTAAACTAAAAGATGTTGTATGGGGTTTAAATTCACTCTTTACTGTAAGTAAGTTCTTTGTTTACGCAAATAATTTCAAGATATATATGTATATATATATATGTATAATATTTTCCTCGTTTGCATATTAGGATCTTTTAAATTTTGATGATCCTTTAAATAGAGATGCAGCTGAATTGTTTATTAAAGATAAAGAATCTTTTCGTACTAAGGTAAAGTATTACGTTATGCAATATGCAAAAAGATGATTTCAAATTGAAATTCTTAATGCAACAGTGTAATTATGCACTCACCGAATTAGAACCATGATTTTTGCAAAAAAAAAACCCAAAAAGGAATTAAAACTTGGAGTTTTCAAAGAAAATTGAACATTATATTTTGATATTTTCTTACTAGTCTTCTTATCTTAGAACGAGTGTAATTTTATTTTTATTTCTTTTAAACATCCAAAACATTCAACTTGTTGCTATTGTTGAAAGTACAAGAAGGATGCATCAAAGATATGTCACATGTACGATAGATCTTTCTCATCACAGATTATCTATGAGAACACAATTTGTAAATAAATTCAATATTTAATAAAAAATCTACATCTTTTTAAACGAGTAATTATTTCGTGTATTACTATACTTAATTTATTTCGTTATTATTTTATTTCCTTAAAAGACATGATTGTTAAAGACGTAATTTTCCATAAACGCATGTGAAGAGAATGCAGTGGTTGCGTTTATTATTTCATATTTATTTATTATATTATGTAACGATTTTTGTACAATTTGAAAGGATATGAATCATGTCAACTAATTCGTTAGTACATTCGTAGTTGCAATACCATTGTGTCCATTGTAACCATTTAAATTGATCGGAATACTGAATAGTCGAAATTTCATGATTTTCTTTAATGAAATTCATGTTCGAATTGATGATATAATATTCGATATAATTAATTATACGTTGTAACAAATAAATAATAACAAAAAAGAAAACAAGGAACGGGATATTTTTGTATGATATTCTTTTAATCCATTCCCTATTGCTCATCCTTGCTCTCTTAACGACTGACTAGATGCTTTTGTGATACTTTACAGTCATACGGAGAAAATTAATTGGAAAAATCGTATCTTAAGAATAATTTTATCGTTAGACCGTTGTAAGCAATTCTTCTTGTATGCTCGTTGATCTTATAAGTTTTTGAGTGGAACCTAAAAGGCTTTCGCTTGCAAGGCTTTGGCTTTCCGATGCCAATTTTTCTTTTTCTTCGTGATATTCGGTGTTATATTCTTTTAATCTGTTACCTAAAAAGACAGACCTTTCGCGCTTTTTGATCATAAATTCCGATGGTAATAACCATCTGTGTTCGTGGCATTCCTCAGCCATCGGCCTTTTACTGGAATAAATGAAGGAGGGAGGTGTAAATTTTTATAATAAAAATAATACAAATTACATTTGTGAGAATACTTACTTCGGTGCACGTTTGAAGACCAACATGAGAAAGCGCGTAGCCTCTTGGCTAATTTCTTTGTAAAGATATTCGAATCTGTACCTAACAAATAAAATATTTTGTCTCGTTTCGGTGGCATCATCGCCACGGAACGGCGATACTCCGGATAATAAAACGTATGCAAGAACACCGACCATCCAAATGTCTGTTTGCGGATATGCAGGTTCTTCATTGTATACTTCTGGTGCTCTATATTCACGGTGACCTGCCTTTGGTACCATCGTGCCGAGTTTACTAACTTTCTGTGCAGTGCCCATGTCTACTAATTTGACTTGAACTGTCCTAACGGAGGCCATAACCACATTGTCCGGTTGAATATCTAAATGGCAATATCCTCGCCAGTGAAGATATTGTAACGCGTCTAATATTTGCGTTATAGCCATGGCCACACAATTCTCAGTATACTCGTGTCGACTAGAGAAATAGGTGAGAATATCGGCACCCTGAAGTTTCTCCAAAATGAATACAGCTAACGATGACCCGGGTGCTTTATATGCTGCCTCTAAAAGAGCTATTCTCTCATGCCTGAGAGAACGTAGAGCTTCGAATTCTCTATTTACTTGCTTTTCAATTTCTGGCCTAAGATCCAAAATCTTAGCGACTATTACGCGATCCGAGGACTTATCGATTCCCTTGACCACAGCAGAGAATTGACCACGGCTTAATTCAGAAATGAAACTGTATTTGTTTGTTAATGTTTCAGTCGACCATTCGATCGGCTGTTCCTCGACAGAATAATTTATATGAGGCTTATCCTCCTCTAGTACGATCTCTTGTCCAGACTCTGTTAATTCCTGAAGATGTCTCATAGTACTGGTTATCTGTATCTGAGGTATACCAGGTGGTCTTGTTTTAATTACTTTCGATGGAATACCCTTTTCGCTCCATCCAATACGATTTCGTGCTGCTAAACGGAAAATGTAAGAAACGTCTTGCTTGAGATCTCGGACTAGATAAAATTCGTGATCTATATTAAAACCAATATCTATCCATGTGATAGAATCGGCTTCTTTATATTGAAGATTATAGCATAGTACGGCAGAATTGCCATCGTATTTCGGTTGTTTCCAACGTAAAAGTACTTGGGTATCCGATATTTCGGTAGCCTGTAAATCGAACGATCCTTATTATTATTTTCAATAACGGAATTAAATGATAAGTATTTATCTGAAAGATAGATTAGTGTAATATACCTCTGGCGAATCTGGACCACATGGAACCATAGCTATTAACATTCTAGTTCTGGCTACTGTCTGTCCAAGAGAGTTCCTTGCCACCACCTTATATATTCCGGCATCGTGTTCCTTTGCGGGAGTGAAACTGAGAATCGATCTGCCATCTTCGTCTTCCGTGATCTTTATTCTTTTAGTCTCTTGAACGACAATGTCATTTTTGTACCACTGTATTAGCGGTTTTGGATCACCTACTGCAAGGCACATCAATTGCGCTACCTTTCCTTCCTCGATCGGCCGTATTTGCGGTTTCTCGCGGAAGAATGGTAGATTTCCTTCCTTTTTCGATTCTATCATGGCTTCAGCCTCAACATAACTATCGAGACGAGTGCCTAATTCGTGTTTCAATCGTCTCAACGTAAATGTATCGGGTGATCCATATTTATTTATCCTGGCCCTTCGTTCGTCGTCGATTTCTTCGTCCATGATGTCGGTAAAACGACGGCGTTCGCGTATTATTGGTGTCTGCAGAAAAAAAGAAGATAAATAAATATTTCTGTTAATAAGAATTTATTGATTTAGAAAAGTGCTTTTTAATTGCCTTCCAATCGTAGCCATTTTCTTCAGTGATTGTACGGGAATATCCTGGACTGCGATTACAGGCAACTTTCATGTATTCACGTAATCGTACTGGGAAGTCAGTATCTCGAAGCTGTAGAAGATAAGTATCTGGACCGTACTGATAGCTATAAATATTCAATGTTGTTAGTTTTATTATAGATAAGAATGGATTAATTAATAAATATATGTTACTATAGGCTTCATACTCACTGACTCTCGCTCTTAATCAGTCCAATTTCTGTGTCGATTGGTTCTCTCGAAGGTACCTGATTTTCCCAAGTTCTAGGGACAGGTTTTCCTATCGGACTATACCGTTCGACACTTGGCTCAGGCGTATATTTATGACCCGGAGGATAAACCATCTTCGACGGGTGTTCAAACGCACTACCGAGTTTGCGTCTGCGATACCACGTACGGCAGGAAGCGTTGCTATACCAATCTCTGTCAATGATTTATAAGCAAGTTATAGAACGTTACGAAGCAAATAAATAACATATATATATATATATATATATATATATATATATATATATATATATATATATATGTACACATCAAGGATATTACCTGTAAAGTTTGTAATAGGTCTTCAAATATTCAGAAGGTATTTTATATAAATCTAATGGTGATTTGTCTGCGTATTCCAACCAAGGATGCTTAAGAGCGGACTTAATATTCATTCGTTTATCAACATTATAGACCAACAAACGACGAATAAAGTCTTTGGCTTCGTTAGAAATATTTTTCCAGCGGTCGTCAAAGTCCCAAGCTCCTTGTCTGATCTTCGTTAATGTTTCTCTATCGTTGACACCTCTGAATGGTGAAATTCCAGATAAAAGGATGTACGTTATGATACCGACAGACCACATATCCGCGGCATAATCGACACCTTCATTGTTTGTGACTTCTGGAGCAACATATTCCGGCATACCGTAGGATAATAACATTAATTTCGTTTGTGTTATTCTTCGAGTTAAACTGAAATCACTGATCTTTAGATCATCGCCACCTGTGTGAGAGATCAGAAGATCTCCAAGCTATTGAAGGGAATTAATATTTAGAACGATGATATTTCAAAAAACAAATAAATATAATGAACAATTGATCGACGAGAAACTTACTGTTAGACCAAGATGTGCATAGTGATTATCGTGAATATATTCAAGGCCATAGAGTAATTGTCGTATATATCCGGAAATTTCTGCCTCAGTATAATGCGGTTGCTTAGTTAGAACATCTGCTAATTCACCACCGGCAGCTCTATATTTCGCTCGTTAAGGATTTGAAAAAATTTATAAAAATTTGATTATCCTATCGAAGGAAGAGCGACGTATTTTATAAAAGCCGATTATATTTTAAAAGGATACAGTTCAATGATCAAAGTGACCGATTTGTCGGTCTCGTAAGCATCTTGCAGGCGTAATAATTTTCGATGATTGAGATGATTCATGGCTTCTAACTCGTTATACATAAATGGTTTCAGCTCTCCACTTCCGTGCATAACTTTAGCAGCATAATTTCTTCCAGTAGATCTCTCTACGGCATGATATGTAATACCTTGAGTACCACGACCCAATTCGTCACCCAAATCATAGACATCATTGTAGGGTTTATCGGTACGCAATTTAATTTCAGTCTTTCTCTTATACGTTCTGTAGACATAATCGTATTCATTTTCTTCTATGTGTATCATGACCGAATGCGATATCGATCCGGCTATGTTTCTCGCGCTAATCGAATATAATCCCTCGTCCTTGACGATCGCTTCGTTAATTGTTAAAATAGATGTATCCGGTTCGACGAAGTGTATCTGAAAGAAAAACATTTCATTGGTATATCTCGCAGTTTATAATTGGAAAATCATGTAAAAAATGATAATCAACCTGAACCCTCGAAGTGCTAGTAATCGGTTTCCAATCTTTGTACCATTTGATTTCAGGAAATGGAATACCCGTAACACGTGCCGTCAATTGGCCAGATTTTCGTACCATCAAAATAATTTCCTCGGGTCTTGTAATAAACGTTGGATATT